TGGGTTTTGAGTATGCTTAATAATCACATGTTGCTTTAGGCTCCCCATGTCACTAATTTTTCGCACAACTGAAGAGTAAGAAGAAGAAAGAAAAGGAGAAGGAGAATTTCAGTCATGAGTATTTTTTGAGAGAAATATTCTCCCCTCAGTTGGAATGATAGGGTCAAATGGAAATAAGGAAAGAGCATGAGAAGTCTTCAAGGCACTAAGTCTTCCCTTCTGGCTGAATTACTGATAACCTAATAAACTGGAATCATTGGCCTTTTCCAAGTACCTGCTCATAGTCTGCTGGGGGAGAGGGAGAGAGCTACTTAACCAGGTAGTGATCACTCGCCTATCGAAAGCTGATCCTTAATTCTTCAAGTCAACATATGAAGTCCAAAATTAAGCTCAATTTCAACTTAGAAACATGGAGTCAGCAGGTGGTCAAGGTGCTGGGTTTTCACATGCATGACTATGTGGTTCAAGTCCTGGGCCCAGTGGCTTGAAAATCATGTTGTGCGGATGTGCTTGGTGTCCCGAATCCTGAGAGGAGAATGAAGGAAAAGGGATTGAGGTGTGGTCATTCTCCCTGGGGAGTAGTTCCTCACTTTCTCTCTCTCTCTGTCTCTCCCTAGTGAGCATACACACCCTATGGGAAAAAAAAAAAAAGAAAGAAAAGAAGAGAAAACAGAGGAGAGGAAAGAGCATGACAGGAAAGAAGAGGAGGGGAGGGGTGAGGAGAAAAACACATCAGGGACATGTGTATGTGTGTCCAAAGTCCTGAGTGGAGAATAACGTTGAAGAATTATGGCATAGCCATCCCTCCATGGGGCTGATTCCCACTGTCCCTCTTTCTCTGTCTCTGTCGAGTGCACATGCCCTATGGTTAAAAAATCTTTTCTTTCTTTCTTTCTTTTTTTTTTTTTGAGAGGTTTCTGCTACAGGGCACATATGCTCACCAGACAGACAGAGAGAGAGAGAGATAGAAAGTGAGAAGTCACTCCCCAGGGAGGATGGCCACACCGCAATCCTTTCTCCTTCATTCTCCTCTCAGGATCTTGGGCAAGCACGTACACGCGCCCGGCGTGAGTTTAAGTCACCGGGTCCGGGATGCGAACTGCGGTCGACTACATGGGAGTCCAGCAACATAGCCGTTACGCTAACTGCTGGTCCCAAAAATCTTTAAAAAATAAATCAATGAACAAACAAACTTAGGAACATGGAAACATTGTTTCTATGGAATCCATGCAATCTTTACTGTAATGTGTCGGAGGAGAAGAGTTACACAGCTTTTCCTGGCTTTGAGAGTCCTGATCTAATACCCAGGGAAATGAGATCTCACCGACAACAGACTGTCAAGAATAGATGTACTCCCAAAATATTGGCACATCACCATTGTGCAGCTTTACTTTGCTAGCGTCGTTATTTACTCAAGGAAGTTACACTTCTTGGACATCAAGTAATGTTACTCTGACTTGTAAATTATAATAGGCGCAGCCTTCCTACCATGGGTGAGAATGGTTTTGATTTGGTAAACTCAGAAGCAAGGCTCTACAGGTAGATGTCTTAATAAGATATGGCATTTTAACCTCAGTAGCCCATCAGTGGTTTGAACTGATTTCGCTGGCTCACACAATCAGTGGTGTCTTAGAGCTGGTTTGTGGTTGTGATGAGTGCCTCCAGTTAAATACTCACACATTTTGAAAACTAAAACTGTTGGTAACTTGCAATTTGCCACAATGGGAATATTTACACCATGGAAATTGGCAGACACTTTAGACTGGGACTTTTTTTTCCCCTCTCGAGAGCCAATTTACCAGAACACCTCTGCATATAGGCTTAGGTAACAAAATAGACCTAGCATTGAGAAAATATTGTATCTTTCCTAAAGATCAAACCACAATGGGCCAGCAGGTGGCAAAGTAGTTAAGGCGCTGGATTCTCACATCATTGACCAGGGTTTGAGTCCCAGACTCAGTGGCTTGAAATTTATGCCGGGCACATGTGCATGCATGCCCAAAATCCCAGGAAGAGAATTGAGGAGAAGGGATTGTAGCATGTCCATCCCTCTTGGGAGGTGATTTCTAACTTTCTCTCTCTCCATCTCTCACTGTCTCTTTAGCAAATGCATGCACCCTGTATCAGAAATCTTCCTCAAAAAAAAAAAAATTAGACCACAAGCCAATTAGTGAATTTGATAATAAATAAAATTATGAAAATAAAGCCCTTCAGTTGTTAATTTATTTCTGTAATTCTTAATCTAGATAAACTCTTTCTCATTTATAATTTCACATTAATTACCAGTCACATGCCTTAGGGCATTGAGAGTGGAAGATCAGGATGACTTTTGCTCACCTTGGGAATAGACTGCTGGATATTAAGAGTGTGGAAAGTTAGAGCAAGAAAACTATTATGAGTAATAGTATAAAAGTGGAGGGATTATTTTTCAAACATTTAAGTATAGGTCACAGAGTCTGCAACGATGCTCACTGAAATGTTAATTCAATTCAATTCAACTTGACAAACATTTACAAACAATAAATGTTTGTTGAATTGAATTGAAATGTTAACATTTATCCTCTTGTGATATTTCTTGGCAAAAATTAGAAAGTATCCTTAGACTATAAACTAAATTCCACCCTGAGATGAATGTTAACTTCATACTAAATACGACCATCAAATATTTATATGTAGCCTTACTTCAAGACACCTGTCATTGAATTGCTGAGCAGCTTAGACAAAAATAATGCAGAGATTCTACCACATTTAAATAGTACAAGAAAATACAAAAAAGGGAAAAGAGCCTCTTGGATTTTTATTTTCACTTAATGGACAACTATGAATATTTATGGTAGACAGTTTCATATTTTCACCTCTGGGTAGTTATTTGCCTACTTCCATTTTTAAAAAGTGCATTCCTCACCCAGTTTTAGTATAAATTCTTTTTTTTTTTACTGAGTTGTTTTATATTTTCCTTTCTTTTCTTTTTATTTTTGGAGAGATTTTTGCTATAGGACATGTGCGCTCACCAGAAAGACAGAGACAGAGAGACAGAAGGTGAGAAATTACCCCTCAGATGGGATGGCCGTGCTACAGTCCCATCTCCTCCATTCTCCTCTTGGGATCTTGGGCATGCATGTACATGTGTCTGGCGTTAGTTTAAGCCACCAGGTCCAGGAACTGAACTGCAGTCGACTACATGGGAGTCCAGTGACATAGCCACTACGCCAACTGCTGGTCCCCTTAGTACACATTATTCTATAGGAAGAACACAGCATACTTCTACCACTCCCAGTATCCAGGAAGGACATGCCGCTCAGCATGACCAATGAGAGTAACACATTCCCCCTGGCAATGGTAACTAATTCAGAAAAGGATACATGCCTCACTCATAAACGATCAAACTTCCCTTGGGATTGTTGAGAGAGGAGCACTCTCTCCTTTTGATGTTGAACTTGAACTAGGAGACTATAGACCTAACACCTGACAGCCATCTTCCTATGAAAAAAAATCTCAACACGAAGCAAAATAGCTAAAAGACAGAGAGAGATTGAGGCTTGGTGATATTGTGTAAGCTCCTAGATCCAGCCATTCCAGATGACACCACTACACTAATCTTAGAAGTAACATGAGGTAATCAACTATCTTTCTTTTATAGAGTTAAGGTTTCTGTCCCTTACCGCTGAGAATCCTGATGTCACAGTCACAGATTTTCCAAATAGGATGTATGTGTTTGCTGAAGAAACAGAGATACAGAAAGCAAGAAATCACCCCCAGGGAGGATGGCCACACCATAATCCCTTCTCCATTCTCCTCTTGGGATCTTGGGTATACTTGTACACACACTCGGCATGGGGTTGAAGTCACCAGGTCTGGGATTTGAACTGCAATAAACTATGTGGGAGTTCAGCAATGTAACCACTTTGCCATCTACTGGTCCCTTCGGAGTATAGTTCTAATGTCCTTGAAATTGGAGGCGAAACCTTTGTTTCTGCTGTCACGATAAGTCAAGCAAACATGATGCTTCCACATCACCTTCCCCATTATTGCTTGATGCTGTCCCACATTCTCACAGATCTGCTTTTCAGGTTCTTGAAATCACATCCAGACTTTTAGATCTCTTCATGTCCTGAGATTTGGGCCTGGCGCTCTCTCTGCCTGATCTTTTTTTTCTCTTTTTCTTGTCTTTTTTTAATTGCCAGATGATACGTGCACTTACCAAAGAGAGATACAGAGAAAGAGAGAGAGAGAGAGAGAATGCACCCCCACTAGAGCAGGTCATGTTGCAATCCTTTCTTCATTTATCCATCCTGTTCGGATTTGGGCATGCACGCACATACACCTGGCATGTTTTTCAAGACTATGGGCCCATCCACGTGGGATCTGGCTCCCTTAACAACTGGGCTATAGAGACAGGTCTTTCTTTCTGTTGTTTAGGTGTCATTTAAATGTCACTTCCAGGGCTGGCAAGTGGCATGGTGGTTAAAGGCGCTGGACTCCCACATGGCCAACCACGATTCAAGTCTCGGACCTGGTGGCTTGCTTTCTCACTTCCTCTCTCTCTCTCTGTCTCTCTCTGATCAAACTGGAAAATAATAATGATGATAATAATAAGTAAAGTTAAATAAAATAATATAAAAAAATAATAATAAATGTCACTTCCTCCAAGGAACAAGTACACATCAGGGAACCTTTTTAAGCTCTCAAAGCACCCTGTTCCTCTCTTTGTCAAAGGGGGCATCATTTCTAGTTTACCTGCTTTCTCACCTAAATGTATCTCTGCTGGCTGGGATTGTAGAAGGCAGGTGGTAGGACTGCTCTGTTCATACTCCCAGCGCTTAGTAGACACTGATAAAATTTACTGGATGAAAGAAGGAATACACAAATACAAAGAACATGCATGCAGGCCTTAAAAATGTTACTTATAAAAAAAAAAGACATTACTCATTGGGTCTTTCTATTATAGACACACACACACACACACACACACACACACACACACACATAGAGGCAAGTACCTAGATAAAGCGAGAGCTCGATTAACTCTTTCTTCTAGGCCAAATGTTCCCAGGGCCTTCCAGGTCATCCAGAACTTGAAAGCATCTGGTCTCCTGCTACACTGGATAGATTTGTCTCCCGTGTCATAGCTGACATCGTAGAACTTGTCCTGCTGGAAGAGGTAAGATGCCTTCGCAGAGTAGCATTTCTTAAGAAGGTCCTTTGAAAAACAAAAAAGAAAAAAAGATGATAAGACTGTCCATGTTTAGAGTACACTTGATCAGGAAAAGCCAAACGTGTGCACACACACATACACACACACACACAGCCTGTGCACACACAGCCTTTGTCAAAGGTCTGTCTCTCCTCATGACTGCCCGACATCAGGCACAATCAGTGCGTGTTAATGTTGAGACACAAGTGACCCATCGTATTTCAAAAAAAAAATCCTACGAAGAATTGAAACTGCTATAATCCATCTTCATCATTCCATGGATGACTATTAAAAAGCTGAGAAGACCATGTCATCACCTCTATGACAGGAAGATGGGCCAATCTTTCAAGAAGAATAAATCTGTTTATAACTCACTCAAAGCTCCACATTGGGATAAATGAAATCTGCCATATGGTACACACTTTATACACTTTCTCTTTTTTTTTCCCCTGAACTACTATTATTTTATTATTCTTTACAGAAAACACACATGTAAATAAGTGTTCTTAAAAGAATAATCTCATTTAAATTGAGGTGTGAAGAATCATACTATTCTAAACATCTGCCACTGTACGCAACATCGCTGATCAACCACATCTTACTTTGGTGTTAAAATAACATAACATGATGGCCTTCAACAAAATACTCTGATAGTTACTCTGATGCCTACCTCCATTTACAAAGTAAATCATAAGCAGTAACATTACACAACAAAATAATATACACTCTCATAGGAAAAAAAAACTAGGGAACCAGCAGTTAGCGTAATGGCTATGTCGCTGGATTCCCACGTAGTCGACCGCGGTTCATGTCCCGGACCCGGTGGCTTAAAAAACTCACGCCGGGCGTGTGTGCGTGCGTGCCCAAGATCCCGAGAGGAGAATGGAGGAGAGGGGATTGCAGCGTGACCATCCCCCCTGGGGGGTGATTTCTCACTTTCTGTCTCTATGACTCTCTCTGTCTGTCTGGCGAGCGCACGCGCCCTACAGTGAAAATCTCTCAAAAAAAAAAAAAAAATAAACTAAAGCATTTATTTATTCATTTTTGAGAGATTTTTGCTGTAGGGTGTGTATGCTCATCAGAGAAACAGAAGGAGACAGAAAGACAAAGAAAGTGAGAAATCACCACCCAGAGGATGGCAACACTACAATCCCTTCTCCTCCATTCTCTTCTCAAGATCTTGGATACACACACACACACGGCATAAGTTTTAAGCCACCAGGTCCAAGACTTGAACCGCAGTTGACTATGTGGGAGTCCATTGATGCAACCATTATGTCATCTGCTGGTCCCCCCTCCTCTCCATTTCAATCGCCAGCATGAACCCCTGACACTTGCTCAAGACATGTCCAAAGTCCATTTGCTTTGGGGATTTTTGGAATCTTTGATGGTTGATGAAAGTAAATTTGTCTTCATAATGCAAGTATGAGTGTGTGCACCTGGTGTTGCAAATATGTGCTTTGTTCTTAAATATATACAGTGGCCCTTTAATGATAATATACAGTCAGACTGTAGTTGCTATAGAAACAGTTACCAAACTTCCTGACTTTTGAGAGTAGGGAAATGCAGAGAGATGGCCATTAAAATCAAAGTGAAGGTTTAGGAGCAACGACTTTTTCTACAGTAGTGTTCAGGTCAGAGAGCAATCATGGCTTCCCCGTGTCTACCAAGAAAATCAGGGTCAGGTTGAAGGCTTGCTAAGAGTCCTTTGATTATTGTTTTACACTCAGTTTATCGTGGGTACTAGATGGGTGGGATTTTGGAATTCGCGATTTATCTGGTATATACTGTTTCACATTGTATGAAGACATGTTTGTTGTAATGCAACACATTTATATTCAGATTGGTGGCCCAAAAGACAATGCTGCTCTTTTGATAGTAAATGTGTACTTTTATTTGGAATATGATACATGGGGATTTTCTTTTCATTTGTTACGTACAAGCTGATCAGTCAGACGAAGGACATTTAGCACATTTTCTAATCAGAAAGGAGCATTTTCTAGGATCCGTGTATCCACTGGGGAGTTTCTGTAGCTTCATCTACAGTGGGACCGTCTTACATTGTCAGGGTGAGGGAGGTACCCCAAATGAGAAACTAGGTGTCTTTATTTATTCTAGTCACACCGTGTGTCCAGGCAATGGGAGAGAAGTATGGGTATGGGGAGAGGCATCATGGTCCTGCCTGCTTAATGGGGATCAATTGAAAAGAAGAATATTTAGGACTAGTTAGGTGGCCTAGTGGTTAAGTCAGCTGGATCCCGTATGGCTGACTGCAAAGTTTGAGTCCCTAGTGGTTTCGAAAAAGGCATATATGATGTATGTGTATAAGCCCACAATCCTGAGAGAATGAAGGAGAATTGTGGCATAGTCATCCCCTCTGGAGGGGGTACTTTTTTCACTTCCACTTTCTGTCTCTTTCTAGCATTCACCTCCTAACAACAACAACAACAAAAAGTACTTCAAAGCTTTAGTTTTGGAGCCAGGAGATGGTGTCGTGGTTAAGGTGCTGGACTCCTACATGGCCGACTACAATTTGAGTCCCAGACCTGGTGGCTTAATTTCTTGTTTTCTGTCTCCCTCTGTCTCTCTGGTGAGTGCAGGTGCCCTATAGCAAAAATCTCTCCAAAATAAAAAAAGAAAAGAAAAAAGAAAAGAAAAGAAAGAAAGAAAGGGAGAGGAGGCCCATCCATTACTGGAAGACAGATTGCATCATAGGCAAATGGAGAAGAAAAGAGTCAAAGCTCATGGCAGAATGAGTGATTGTCCTATAGAGGTGACACAGTTAATTTCATTGCACTGAAAAATCTCTTGCCTTGAGAAGGTTTCATAAAGAACGACTGGAGGCTTGGGATTTACTTTATCGAAAATAAATGAAAACTTTTCCCCTGAAGTTCCTGCTTTGCATTTTAGTTTATATCCTTGTATTAAAATGGATGAGCTGTCCTTTAGTTTTAAGATACACATCAACTAAGAGAAGATGCTCAGCTCTCCCGAGAAAACCACATTTTGGAATAAGTATAGTAAAAGTGCACATTTTTTTAGAAAGCTTAATTAGTTATTATTGTGCTATCAAAGAGAAGGGCCATGTTATCTTGCTCATCTTCATACTCTTAATCCTGCCAGGACAGCAAAATAAATACTAGTTAAATGAATTCCAGAAACAAGTATCCAATGAGAATACCAATTGCCTTTCTATTGTGATATTCACTCACACTGTTCTCAGTGATTAGTAGACATCGTATTAGGACTTCCACAATGACAAATGAAAGAAGCTTAACCAAAGGAGAAATTTTTATGGGCTTGTGTATTTAAAAACCTAGTTATATATAACCTTCAGGCACAGTTGGATCCAGGATGAAGTAATACTAACATCAGGAATCTGCCTTTTCTCTCATTCTATTGTCTTCAGTATTGACCTCACTCCTCAAGAAGAAAGATGGTAGGAAGTCTAGAGACTGAGGCTTCCCAGTGAGACCTGGGAGGATGGAGAGAGCTATGAAATGGCAATATATCCCCAAGGGGGTAGATGTTGGTTTTCCATTTCCTTACACAGAGAAGAAAAAGTGCTTATGTTGACTGACTGCAGAATAGTTGGTGTGGAGTAGAGCATAAACAGAGGACAATAATGTCAGTGTTGTTTTTTTGCAAAAGGAAGCAAATCAGACTGAACTATGGAAAAAGTCAGTGTATTAGGCTGAGCCATGAAGAGTCTAGGAAAAAAAGGGTGTGAGGAAGGGACACAAAGATGGAAGGAAAGAAACAGAACGAGATAAAGAGAAGAAGAAAGAAAGAGGGGATGGTAAAGGAAAGAAGGGAGTGAAAGGGAAGGAAGGAGGGGAGGATGAGTAGAATATAGGTAAAACAAGATTTCAAGGGCTAAAAGTAAAGTTCAGTCCAAGGCATCTGCTTACATAGGTGTGTTTGAGACCGTAGAAATGAGCAAACCATTCATCTCACACACTGAGATTCTTACCCCCTACCTTAAGGAATCTTTTCCTTTCTTATCTAAATACACATTGATCTATGAAGTGAGAAATTGGGGCTATAGCCCTCTATCTGCTGTTCAACAAGTGCATATTTCCCCCACTACTTTTATCTTTCTCTCTTTTCCTTCAGTATCACAACTGTCCCCTCCCCTCTTTCTGGCTTTCAAGAGTACAGAATACTTTACAAGTCTTGTGGCAGAAATGAGAGCTGGCCATTGAAATCATTGCCAACATGATGGTCTTTCCATTTATCTTCACCTCCCTCTCTTGTTTCTCCTCTGTGTACCTTCAATCTGGCTTTCCTGGTCTCAAGTAGTATTCACTGACTTGGGGTGGGGTCACAAACTCAATCTTATTTTAAGATCTGTTCATATATTACTGGGAACCTGTGCTAACTTTCACTAGCCAGACCTCAAGTTCCTGAGTCTCTACTCATAGCAACTCTGTATTTTGCTTTGTTTATGGCCACATGTAATCCAAAGCAGGTATCCTTTCATTTGTAGATCCCTTAGATGGTTATCTTTCATTTTTCTTGTAAAATTTCGTAGATTTTTTAAAAAAAATATTTATTTAATTCATTTTCTTTCTGTTGTAGCTTTTTCACTCTATGATGAAGTAGAAAATTGATAAAAATCCACTAGTGTTGCATCCAGCTTACTATTTTTATTTATTTATTTATTTATTTATTTATTTATCTATTTATTTTTGAGAGAGAGATTTTTTTGCTATAGGGCATGTGTGTTCACCAGAGACACAGAGAGAGGAAGAGAGACAGAAAGCGAGAAATCACCCCCTGAGGGGAAATGGCCATACTGCAATCCCTTCCCCTCCATTCTACTCTCAGGATCTTGGGCACACACATATGCACACCCAGCATGGGGCTTAAGCCCCAGATCTGGGACTTGAACCATAGTCAACTATGTAGGAGTTCAGTGATGCAACCATTACACTATCTGCTGATCTCCAGCTTACTATTTTTAATAAATTACCAGTTTTTCCGTAAGCTTGCTAGGAAATTTG